CTGACAAGCAAAGTCGATGGGGAAGCCAGATGCTGCTGACAACTGTGTTACTAACTTAACAACTGCAGTGATTTGCTTAATAACTGGCCAGAAAAGTCGTAAAATAGGACAAAACTCACTTAACAACTGTCTCGCTTAGCAAGATAAATTTGCAGAAAGTCGAAGTCCACCTGTACTAATCCTTACAGATCTTGGTGTAAGAGCCAGTTTAGTGTAGTAGTTAAGGCCTCAAGCTAGAAACTGGGAGACCATGAGTTTTACTCCCATCTTGGACACAAAGCCAGCTGGGTGACCTTGGGCCAGTCCCTTAGCTCTAGGAAGGAGGCAGTGGTAAACCACTTCTGATAAACTTTGTCAAGAAAACTACAGGGACTTGTTCAATCCTTTTCCAAGAATCAGATACAATTGAACAGAAGGGGGAGGGGAAGTGTGGGTATGCTGTGAGAATAAACCATTTGTGTTTTAGAGAATAATCCAACTTTGGTTAAATTTACACAAGCCATAAACCAAACCAATCATATGAGGGCTTAGCATATTCTAAGCACCCAGCTATTATTTTGAACTCCTGGTCAAAATGAGGTATTTTGAAGAATTGGAGCCATGGTGGAAAATATGTAATATCCATCCTGTTTTGATTCAGAAAACCACTGATGTTGTAAACTGTAGTGTAATGTAAAATGTGAACCCCACCCTTTTGAATCTGGGAGGGAAGCAATAGCATTTATATGCCTTTGGGTGTGTGTTTTTTAATGGAAAAAGAAAAAGAAAATGGATTCCACAAGAATTTATCTCTCATATATCAATCAAAACTGGCTTTGCTTTTGTAGTCAGGTTAGACAAGCTACATTTCATTTGTTGCAGTCATAAATGTGAAAAATGGTCATAAGTCACTTTTTTCGGTGCCATTGTAATTTTGAAAGGTCATTAAATGAAATATTATAAGCTGAGGACTACCTCTATTATTCTAATTGTTATATGGAAAAGGGATATCCAATTAATCTTGTATTCTCAGAAAATGTTTTGAAATACTATAAAGACATAATCTGTTCTGCAGTTTTTCTGTTAAATTTCCAAACCACTGATATATACTGTAAATAAAAGAATGTGATCATCCATTAATCAAATAAGTCTTCCAGAATAAAATCAATATGGATAAAATAATGCCTGTCCTGAATGGAGCATATGACTATATCATTTGAACTACCATTGCTTCTTGTTCACCCTAAGGATTAACTGAAATAATCAATTTCTTCTAAAAAAAAATATCTTGGCATCCAGTACGGTACAGTCCTCAACTTACAACAGTTCATTTAGTGACCGTTCAAAGTTATAATGGCACTGAAAAAGTAACTTATGACCATTTTTTCACAGTTACGACCTTTCCAGTCTCCCCAGGATCACGTGATCAAAATTAAGATTGCTTGGCAACTGGTTCTTATTTATGACTGTTGCTGTGTCTCAAGGTCATGTGATCACCTTTTGCAAGAATCTGACAAGCAAAGTCAATGGGGGAAGCCAGATTCACTTAACAACCTTGTTACTAACTTATCAACCTCAGTGATTCACTTAACGACTGTGGCAAGAAAGGTCGTAAAATGGGGCAAATGTCACTTAATGTCTCACTTGAGAGAAGAAATTTTGGGCTCAATTGTGATCATAAGTCGAGGACTACCCTTAATCAGAAGGAAGGAGAAGGGGAAGCAGAAGGGGAAGAGGAAGGGGGAAACAAAATGGTGACGCAAATTCAGCACAGGGTTTCCATCCTCCCTGCAGCATTGGCGCCAAACTAGGGTGCCTCATGTTTCCACCCTCTCCGCTTTAAATCCATAGGAAGTTACTGAGTGAGGTCATCTATTGGTACTGCTTGAAGTATCATCAGTATTATCAGTTTTCAAGGTAGGCTGAGTCAAGAAACAGATTTGAGGAATTCTGTGTTATTGTTACAGGATATAGTAGAGATGGAAAATCTGTCCAGAATCACAGCTGTCCCGTTTAAGGACAACAAAGTTAAGGTGGGGCTGTTCCGGATCTCTTTCTCACATTTTCTATCTTGCAATAGCTGTATAACTGTTCGCC